AAAGATTTTTCAGGAAATGGTGAAGAAATTTATTTAATCGAAACCTTAATAAACATCTGAATTAACATTGTAAAAAAAGAATTTTAAAGAAATGCTCTTTTCAACTTAAAGTAAGTTAAAATAAATTTGGGATGGATTAGAAGAATCAATAAAACAGATGTATAATTTGATTGAGATGGAAGATAAGTTCTATTAGAATTTCATTAAAAACAATATGAGTCCAACAGAATTGTCGAATACTAATTTAGAAAAATTAGTGTCAATTATAATTGGAAAAACATTAGATAATATGAATGATTAGAAAAAATCTTATTTGAAGCAGTTGGAAATGATGAAGAATTATTGGAAAGAAACTCAGACCTTTTGTGAAAAGTTCAATACAGAATTGAAAGGGATTATGTCAATTATTTAATTGTAAATGGAAAAACATCAAATTGCATGAGTTAAATAAATTAGATGGTCATTCTGAATCGGTTTATTCAATTTGTTACTCTCCTGATGGTACTACATTAGCATCTAGTAGTTCAGATAACTCTATCCGTTTATGGGATGCTAAGACAGGATAATAAAAAGCCAAATTTGATGGTCATTCTGAAATAGTTAGTTCAATTTGTTACTCTCCTGATGGTACTACATTAGCGTCTAGTAGTTATGATAATTCTATCCGTTTATGGGATGTTAAGACAGGATAATAAAAAGCCAAATTAGAAGGTCATACACATTATGTTTATTCAGTCAATTTCTCTCCTGATGGTACTACATTAGCATCTGGTAGTTAAGATAACTCTTTCCGTTTATGGGATATTTAGACAGGATAATAAAAAGCCAAATTAGATGGTCATTCAAGTAGTGTTATTTCAATTAGTTACTCTCCTGATGGTACTACATTAGCAACTGGCAGTTCGGATAACTCTATCCGTTTATGGAATGTTAAAACAGGAGAATAAAAAGCCAAATTAGATGGTCATTCAAGTGCAGTTTTTTCAATTTGTTATTCTCCTGATGGTTCAACATTAGCATCTGGTAGTGCAGATAAGTCTATCCTTTTATGGGATATTTAGACAGGATAATTCAAAGCCAAATTAGATGGTCATTCAGATTATGTAAGAACAATTTGTTACTCTCCTGATGGTACTACATTAGCATCTGGTAGT